CGCAGCCAGGGACGGCCGGACTCGGCCTCTGCTTCTTCCTTAGCTGCTGCACAGGGGCCACAGGCCTCGGACTGCAGCGTTCTGTGCAGAAAGCCTTCCTCACAGCTCTGCTGGAGTCTGGGTCCATGCCACTGTTTCCGGTCAGCCCCACTTCCGGGTCCGTCCCCTGGCAGGCAGGCAGGAAGGGTCTGTCGCTCAGGATGGGGCGGTAGCCCAAGCAGGTCAGGCTGCGGGCGGCCCCTCCCTGTGCTTCCTCGGTGACTTCTTACGTTTGGGGCTTCTGCCTCTGTCTCATTCTCTCGCCCTCCTTCCTGGTTTGCACAGATTATCTACGCATCCCAAGCTCCTGCCTTTTCTCCCCTCCCCTTCCTCTCCTGGTCACCTCCTCCATTCCCACCAGGTACTGTCTCTGCCCAGGAGGGCCCGGCTTTGCTGCTGGCCTTGGCCTCCTCAGGTAAAGCTCCCTGCTGTGGCCGGCTGGTGTCTGTGCGGCTACTGCGCTTGATACTGTTAAGGAAAACCAGGACTGGGCAGCATGTGGAGCACCAAGGGCAGACTTCATTCAGGCTCGATTGCAGTAGGTGCGTGTTGGGGTCCTCTGGAGAAACAGAGCCCGTAGGATGCAGAGGAAGGTCGGTCTGTATCTATCTGTGTCTAAATCCAGTGCACTGACTGAGGAGCACACTCGTGCTGGGCGATTAGCGCCCACAGAGGTGGAGACGAAGTTTCCCTCTGCCAGCCGCAGACCCGAAAACCAGTGACGGTGGAACTGGGTCAGAGCCTGAGAGTGGGGAGCTGGTGTATGGACCCCAGACCAGGCGAAAGAAAGTGAGTGAGGTGCGGAGGCCATGGAGCGAGGCCGGAGTCACGGGGACAGTCCCTGCGTCCTCTGCATCCTGTTCTCTCTGGCCCAGCAGGCAGGTGGCGCCATCCCCGGTGTGCCCTCAGAGCTGTCTCACCTGGGCACCCGCGGCTGCTCAGGTTCACACAGGCTTCGCCATCCTGGGGAAGAGGGCTGTGTTCTGGGTCCAGCAGGGCCAGGGGAGGAGTGGGGCAGCAGGGGGCCCCAAGAGGAAACTCAGGCAGGGAGATTTTGGCTGCACGGACCTGATGGGCCTCCCGGTGGACACGACGGGGCCACAGCTGAGGGCTGCTGCTGCTGGGACTCAGGGACTCGGGTGAGGCCCTGGAGCAGCGGTGCGGGGAGCAGAGCAGGTGGGAGGCTCTCTGGAGGCCCCAGGGGTTTGGCTGCCGCAGAGGCGCGGGCCCAAGGATAGGAGGGTGGGCGTCAGGGTGAGGCTGGGCTGGGAGCCACGGGGACGGTCAGTCTGCTTCAGTCCCTGAGCTCTGTGCCCCTGGGGTTCACTGTCCTCGATTTCAGCTGTGCAGGTGTGGACACGCACTTGACCTGTGCGCCGCAGCTGGCTCTTCTGCAAAAACGAGTGTGGGCAGAAGCAGAGAGGCTTCTGGGAGTCAGCTGGGAGCAGGAGGGGGCAGGGCAGTGGTGTGGGGGCTGCGGAGCGCCTGTGGGGTCACTGGGCCTGGTTCCTAAGGGCGAAGGACCCGACTGCCACAGCTGCCTCTCCTTGGCATCTGGTACCCCAGGCCCACAGGAGATCCCTGGTGAGCATGCCCTGGGTGTTATGGAGGCCCCGTGGTACTCAGTACAGCACCCCAAGGACTTGCTGGGGCGCCCTGGTGGTGCTGTTCCTCCCATCACGTAGCTGCTGGTGCCTCTGGAGGGCAGGGCGCTGCCTGGAGGGTGCTGCTCCTCCTCCTTGGTGTCAGAGGCCCCCAATCCCACGAGCCTTCACGGCCCCACCCCGTCTGTCCTGGCAGTGGCTCCACTGCCCTTGGCTAGACGAGCGCTCTCTTTGGTTGGGGGTTCAAATTTTACAATCCAAGCGTAAAACAAGTCAAGAGTGAAGCCGACCAGGCAGGGGTGCAGCTGCTATGCGTCCTCTGCCACAGGGAGCTCTGGACCACGGCTGCGGCTGGCGGCGGCACCTGGGCTCTGTTCTCGTTGATGGTGTCCACCCAGTCAGGTGGCCACGGTGAGGCGCGACCTGCCCTGTTAGTGTCACGGCTGTGCCCTGGCTTCCCTCAGCTCCGGTTTCAATTCCTGAAGAAAGAGGGGCTCCTGTGTCCCGCAGCCTGAGTCCCAGCGAGTCTCAGGGTCCCCGTGTTTTCCGCCAGCCCTCCGATGGGTCCTGACTCCCTGCCACCCTCTCAGGGCTCCCCTCCTCCTGTTTGATGGCGGGGGAGCCCCAGTCCATCCCCACCTTCTCCTTCCGGCTGGCCCTGGGGCTGTCTTCTCCATAGATTGCCTTGGGCTCCTCCGTTCTGAGCCGCAGGGAGGACTTCACGGGACAGCGAGCTGGGCTTCCTGGGGCAGGGCCGGGCTCGGGATCACTGTCAGCCCAGGGGACAGAGCAGGCGGAATGAGGAACAGCTTCCACCCAGGCCTGGTCACGGGAAGAAAAACAGCCCTGGCCGTGTGCTATACGGGCTGCAGTCCCCACTCCAGCACTGTGTCTTGGGGTCTCTGATGTTTTCACAGCCCTGGTGGCTGCCTGTACCAAGCCTGACCTCTGAAGTTCCCTTTTCTGTCCTGAAGGGAATTGCAGCTCAACAGCTCAGGGCTTCTCTGAAGCGTTCAGTGTGACAGTCAGCCCAGGCTGCCAACAAGGGTCCCCAGGCAGGGGGTTTAGGGCAGAAGAAATAAAGATAGGGAGAGAGGAGACAAGGAAAACTGCAACTTCAGAACTGTGCTTCTGAGGAAACCGCAGCCCCGGGGCGTGTGTGACCCAGGTCATCGGTGTTTGTCTCCACATCTGTGACCCTGGGCTCCTTTGTCTGCTTTTCCTTCTGGGGCTGTCCCTCTCAGAGTCCTCACGGGTATCCTAAGTCCACTCATTGGCCAAGGGGGCAAGGGAGAAGCAGCAGCCCGACGCTAAGGTGGGAAACAGAGTCGGGGGTGCAAAGCCTCTGAGATCACCCGTCTTTGAGGCATCCCCAGCCCTGGACAGGGCCCCTCTCGAGCCCTGCACCCACCTCTGAGGTTCCCCCTTCCTCTGCCCCACAGTATTTGTCTACGCCTCCCAGTCCCATCCCGAGGTTCTTTTCCTGCAATGAGATACGAGAACCCGCTTAGCCGACTGGGTTGAGGTCTTGCCTCCTTGCAGGGACCTCCCTGGGCCCTCTCCAGTGACACAACCGACAAGAATTTCTTTCTCCTGGTTCCAGGGGCTGAAAGTCCAGGACCAGGGCTGCAGGAGCCTTGCTGTCTGGGGAGGACCTGCTCCTCGAGCGGCAGATGCCCTTCTGGCTGTCCTTGGCAGATGCCCTTCAGGCTGTCCTTGTGTGAAGGAACACGCACTTGGGTACCCCTGCTGTTTTCTTCATTTGCACGACTGGGGATTGAACCCTTCTCACTGAACTACACCCCCAGCTCTTTTATTTTTAACCTGTAGACAGTTGCTAAGTTGCCCAGGCTGAGCTGGAACTTGTGATCCTCCTGCTTCAGCCTCCTAGAGTGCTGGGATTACAGGTGAATGCCACCACGCCTGGCTCTGCTGGCCCTTAGTCGGAGGGCTCCCTCCTACTGGACTAGGCTCCCCTCGAGAGTATGTCTGACCCTAATGACTTGTAGAGACCCCGTTTCCAAATGCCAGCCCCCTGGGGACTAGGGCTGCCGCTCGTGAACTGAGAGGGACACAGTTCAGTCCGGAGAACATAGCTGAGGTTTGTAGGATTTAACTGCAGGCTACGGGTGCAAAGAACCATTGCCAATTACATTCATTTGTTAAACATAGACACTGCTGCTTGAGTGGACAGATGTCTTTCATACTCTGCAATTCTTGCAAGGTGTATTAATACTGTAGTTTATATTCTTCTGAGTGGTGCATGCCTCTAATGTAATCCCAGCTACTCAGGAGGCTGAGGCAGAGGATTGCAAGTTTAAGGCTAGCTGAGCAACTGAGTGAAACTGTCTGAAAAACAAAACCTAAAAAACCCCAAAATGGAATAAAAAATAATAAAAAAAAGCTGGGAGTGGTAGAGAACTTGGCCAGCACGTGTGAAGTTCAGTCATCAGTAATTGGAAAAAAGTTATTTTTAGAGTTTTTTTTTCCTTTGAATCTTTTTTTTTTTTGGTATCAGGCATCGAACTCGGGTCCTTGCGCTTGTGCAGCAGGCGGCGAAACCACTGAGCTAAATCCCCGGCCCAAATTTTTTTTCTTATTCAGATTCTATTCCTCATTATTCCATTATTTTCAAAGTTTTACCTAATATAGAAAAACTAACCACCATCACTGAGTAGAATGTATATTTTAGGAAATAATAGTTTGTTCTAAAGACAAATTTAAAGCAAGTTTTATATCTTGGAATTGTTATTGCTCTGCATAGGAGGATGAACTTCTCAACTGCGAAATTAAAGAATCAGTGTTATCAGAAATATTATGGAGGGTCACCCCAGTGGCCCCCACAAAATGTAGATGAAAACAAAACAAAACTGGAAGGCAAGACTGAGAATGTAAAGCCATCTTAAAGCGCTTTGCGAATGCTGTCAGTATGTTTTATTCGAGTGAGTGTGTAGCAGTGGGTGTATAGCAGTGTGTGGAGCAGTGTGTGTGAGTGTGTAGGAGTGTAAGTGTGTGAGTGTTATAGCACTGTGTGTGTGTATTCTCTGCAGTGCTAGAGGCCAAATCCAGGGCCTGGGCATGCTGGCCAGGCCCTGTCCGCCACGCTGCGCCCCAGCCTGGCTCTTTCTTCTGTGCTTGTGTAAAAGCCCTGGCTGCCCCTGCAGCCTTCAGTCTTTTGTCTGCTTCGGGTGGCTGGGGACTGAGGGCCTGCCTGGCCCTTGCTTGTTTCTGGTTCGGCCACCCTGGGGCTCCAGCGAGTGGGCCGCAGGCTGTGGCGGGGGCGTCAGCGCCACACGGCCCCCTGCGGCGTCTTTGCAGCCACTGTGCTGTGTTAACTCGCGTGTCCCTCTGTTTCAGTGCCTATCGGCCGAGGAGGTCTTCGCCCTGCATGGCTTCTCCAACACCACCCGGATCACCAGCACCGACTTCCCCAGCATCTGCCCGGCCGTGCTGCAGCAGCTGACCTTCCACCCCTGCGAGGCCGAGCCCAGGGCCTTGTCCAAGCCCACCCTGTCCCAAGGTGCGCGTGGCCCGCTCTGGGGCCGGGGCTGGGGTGACGCTAAGGCCTGCCTCCCGCCACCTGCTTCTCTTTGGTCCGCACACCCTGGCTTGAAAGTGCTTAGGATGTTCAAACTCGTTTCAGCTCCCTAAGTCTGCTCTTCAGGGTCCTCCTGAGCGCCACTTACCACCGCATAGAACCAGCTGTTGACTTTAATGAGTCCGTATTTATGCCGTGTGTGCTGGGCTGCAGACTGACTGTCTGGCTCAGTTTTAATCATGGTCCACCGCCTTTTGTGTACGGTGTCGTTTTAAAGCCGGTCAGTTTGTCTGCAGGGGTCAGTGAGGTGGTGATGGGCACTGATGAGTTAGTGCCCTTTACCATTCATAGGATGCAGTGCAGGGCCTAAACGGGATTGCCGGAAACACTGCATTTTAAAGAAATGATCTGCTCTTATCGGACGTCACGCTGAGCACTGTTCTCTGGAGACATTGAGGGTTCTGTAGTAGGAAGGATTTTATGCCCTTCTAGAGTTTACAGCATAGTAGGGAATGACTCACGGTTAAACAAACAAGCTGGCAAACGGTGCTGTCTCTGAGCTCTGTGCTAAGACGAGACAGAGCGGATCAGGAGAGGCCGGGTGGGTGTGAGCCTAGGATGCAGAGGCAGCTCGCCCGGCAGAGGCCCCACTGAGGGCGCTCCGATCCTCTGGGGGTGAAGGGAGGGAGGCAGGGCCCTGGGTGGGGCCACAGTAGGCAGTGGGTGCAGGGTCTAAGTCCTGGGGGTGGACCAGGTGGGCAGTGAAGGCCAGGCCCTGTATCAGAGGACTGATCTTACATGGAGTGCAGTGAAGCCACGTCGGGTGCAAACGTTAGTGTTGTGATCTTATTCCTACCTGGACAAGAGTGTTCTACCCCACCATGGCACAAAAGCAGCAGCCAGGAGGCGGGGCGGGGGCACATTTGGAGCTCAGAGGAGAGATCGGCTGGGATCTGTCACCATAGAGATGGCGTTGCAGGTGCTGTATGAGCAGGCTTGGCCAGCGTGTGCAGAGATAGAGACACAGGGAATGAGAGTCAAGAGAAGTCTCAGCAGGGACAGCGTCTGTTTAGCTTGCTCTTGAGTCACTTTGGGAGCGCACATTGCCTGAATACCAACAAGCGTGGTAACAGCCTGTAGTTTGGGGGCTTGCTGTGCAATAGGTCCTCTTCCACACACGGTACCCAGGTGAGCCACTCAGTCTTCCAGTAGCTGCGTGATGTAGAAACCGCTTCCGGTTTTACAGGCAAGAAATGGAGGTACAGGGACTTTAGCGTCACCTGCCCCAGGGAAGTTCCACGCTTTGCCTGTGGCGGGGAAGACTCAGCTCGGTGGTCTCAGCCTCAGAGCCCAGGTACTCCTTCATCCTCCGCACTTCCACAGAGCGGAAGTCATCAACTTCGATTTATCAGTGTACTTTGCAGTTTTGTGAGGAACTCTGCATAGTTTCAATGTTGAAATAAGAGACATTTTGAGCAATTACTAATAGTTCAAGCAAATATTTTTGCCACAGTATGTTTATATTTCTACCAGTCTGTTTAATTACAGTCTGCACTTTATGTTTAAAAATAAATTCCTTTCTGTGCTAACATTCACTAATCGCACACGTAGACTCTGAAGTCAGCCCACTGTAGCCCAAGACCCAGCTTTGTATTGAGCACACGACTTGAAACTCTGCCTCAGTTTCCCCATCTAAAATCATTCCTTTCTCATGGTGTTGCTGTAAGGATTAAAGAACCTAATTAAAAAAAAAACACTTAAAATATCACACACACACACACACACACACTCGCACATGCACACACATGCACACACAACCGGATGAGAAGGAGGTGATCCATTGTTGAAAGGACAAAGACTGAGAGCTGGAGTTTGATGTTACAGACCAAGGTGTCCCTAACCCACAAGAAACATAAACCTAAAATAAATAAATATCTGGCACATGGTTAGGTGCTATATTAGGTCCCTTAAATAAATAAATTATATCCAACTTGTACACAATTCCAGGAAATGAGGTTTCAGAAAAAGAAATATCTTGTGTGCAGGTTAATTACTGATTTTCAAAAGTGTTTTTGACTCTACTTGCTCAGATTTCTCCATTTCATGAACCAGGAGATGAAAACAGGGAAGCCGGAAACAGGAAGTGGGAGAAAGAATTCTAAGGTCAACACTACAATGCTGTAAAGTGGAAAAAGTCAACAATTCCAAGACAGAAAGTGGAACAGTCTACTTTTCAAGATGTTAGCTTGGTTTTTTTTGGTACCAAGGATCCAACCCAGAGCCTAGGCACTGAGCTACATCCCCAGCTCTTTTTATTTTTCACTTTGATACAGGGTCTCACTAAGTTCCCTACGCTGGGCTTTACCTTGCAGCCTTCTTGCCTCAGCCTCCCAGTAGCTGGGATTATGGATGTACACACTGTGCCCATGTTGTCTCTTTGATGTGATATCTTACTCGTTTTACTTTAGAGCAGCTGTGTGATCTTGAGCAATTTCAGCTCCCTCATCGGTAAAGATGCATATAATGATAATATCTGTCTTTTAGAATTGCTGGGGGCTTCAAAGGAGTTGCAGTGTGCAAACTGCACAGCACAGTGCTGGCCGGAGCCAGAAGCTGACGTCTTTGATCTTCTTGCTCCTGGGTTCATAGGTTCACCCCTTCCCTGGCCTCCAGATAATGGTACTTTCCCATCAAGAAATGTTTAAAAAATAATTAAATGAAGTGGAGTCTGATATAACATGGCACTAAGTCAAGTCTGAGTTCATCCAAAAAAATGAAAAATCAAAATCAAAGGAATCCGAGGAGTCAGGCCACAAGAGTTTTCTGAACACATTTATGTCAGCATTTCAGTGAGCGGATAAAGTCGTCTCTTTTTCTCCAAGAGCTCACATTTTGTGACTTTTTAAAAAAGTTGCTTTGAGGTGCTTTATACAATTATATTGATGACTATAACAAGCTGATGATCAGTGAGCTTCTCTAAGAGAGAAATTACTAGCATTTTATCAGTAATTTAATGGTCCCCAATTGCCTCATTTTTGATGAGTTCACAGAATACTGCTTAACTCAGAGAACAGATGAGAACAATAGGATGCTGCTTGAAGCATCTTGAGGGTCATGCTGTCTGGTGTCGCAACACAGCTGATGACTCAAGTCTACACTCCAGAGCCCTGAAGTGGCTTCTCTTATGCAGAGAGAGCCCGGGCTGAGAGGAGACCCAGTGCTCCCAAAGCCAGCTTGTTCCATTCACTGTATTTTTTTGTTCCGGGAATCGAACTCAGGACCTTGGGCTTGTGAGGCAGGTGGTGGCACCACTGAGCTAAATCCCCAGCCCCCTCCCCTTCACTGTATAACACTTGCAGTTACACAATGGTCTACTTACTATGTTTTTTTTTTGAGATGATAATAAACAATATTTATTGAAAGCGTGCTGTATTTTAGAAACAACATTAAGTGGCTTTATTCTTGTGAAATCCCCGTGAGGTAGGGGCTATTTTCGGTCCGTATTTTAAATATGAGGAAACCGAGGCATAGTGAAGCGGAAGACCATTCAGGGAAGAGCTGGGTTTTGGCCCCAAACCCCCGGCCCAAGTCTGCCTGGCTGTTGCTGTTCTGTGCAGCTTTTCATGTGAGTGGGGCCAGGTTGGAATTGAAGTCTGGGTTGTGTGTGGATCTGAAAAATGGGATAATAATGGAATGGGTACTAATAACGCCCACCTCAGAGCCGTTCGCTCCCCATGTGAGTGAAAATAGTTCTTGGGTGAATCTTAACACGCAGTGGGCGCTCAGACTTGTGAGCCACCGTGACTGATATTGGTTGGATGTCTGTTAAAATCTTCCGGGGTTTGTACAGGAGCAGAAGAAACCTTCTCTGAAACACATCATTAGAGGAAGCCTGATGCGCATGTGGAGAGGTCCAAGAAAAGTTTCATCTGCGTTTCTATGGTCCAAGTAGAGTACAAAGATGGATTTAAAAAAATAATCTCTTGACAATGCGAAGGGGACTGCGCAGTGTGCCCAGTGTGCGACCCTCCACCCCCGCAGCTCCCCGGGGGTCCTGACAGTGCACACAAGGGCGCAGAGAGGCCAGGCAGAGCAGGTGGGTCCTTTTGACCGAGCTCTGCCGTACCTCCAAAACGGCGTGCCTGGGTTCACGCAGCAAACAGGTCTGATGCTGGCTAACTTCCTCGGCACCGAGGACAAATTAAACACAGCCCCATCTTGCACATGCCACTGTTCGTATGATGTGGGAAACCTGTCAGTGATAGAACTCGTAGCTCGCAGGATGCAGCGATTGGACAATCAGCTCCCAACGCAGGGCTCTGGGGACCGTGCTGAGCTTGGCGGAGGCGGTGCGGTGGCTTGGAGAGCTGGGGCTTACAGAAGGGGACCGCAGGGGCGCCGTGTGTGTGGACGCTGTGTCTGGGAGAAGGAGTGGCTGACCCTGGCAGGTGCACGGGAGCCCGTCGGGGAGGGACGACTGGGAAGAGGGGCAGGGGCCAGTCCGTGTGCGTTTGGGTGGAACCGAGGCATCAGACAAGGCGGGAAGCTGTCCTGCTCCGCCAGGGGGCTCAGGCGGTGGCACGGGCCGCATCCCTGCAGGGAGGGCGGGGTCTGGCCCCCTCGTCTGTGGGCCTGGCTGGCGGAGAGCGGGAGAATGAGGCGCTAAGAAGCTCCGGAGTGTGTAGCTGCGGGGTCACCTCTGTTTGCCACTCAAGCATTTCTTTGCCTTCTGATTTTTGTGTTCAACCTGTGTGTGTCGTGTTCGTGCAGTGAGAGCTTGTGCTGCATGGAGGAAGGCAGCGCTGTTTCCTGCAGGTGGAGGGGATCGGCATGATGGGTGGGGCTGAGCTTTCTCCAAAGGAAGCCCCGAGGTAGGCAGGGTGTTAGGTGACAAGGCAGGATGTGGAATGAGGCACTGCTGCATTGCTCTGTGGTCCTGGCACTGACAGGAGGACGCCTGGGGAGCAGAGTCATCGTGGTTGGCACTGCCGTGGGTCGTGTGGGTTTCCAGCACCGCTTGGCATCTGTATTTCTTGTTGGCACTTGGTGCTGGTATACGTGTGACACACACACACACACACACACACGTGTGCACATGTGTTTCGCAGCATCCCAGGCAGAGCAGTGGGAGCTCCCTGTTGGCAGGAGCCGTGGTGTGGTCCACATCCTGGGCCCATGAGTATTTGCTAGGGCAGTTTTGTGGACAGAATAGCAGTGAGTTGTTGCATGTTGAGGAGGACAACACTTTACGTTTCTCCCGAGTCCCTGGGGCCTAGCAGTGGAGCGACCTCCATAGCAGCAGCCCACACTTTCAATTCTGGGGCACAGCAGCCGGCCGCCTGCCTTGGGGTGCGGCTCTCTCTGTCAGTGACCTGGAAGCTTGCTTGGCCCCCATGTCCTTTGGCTCCCCAGCTATGTGGAGCAGGGGCAGCAGCATCCCCTCTGCAGCCTCATGGGAATCCAGGAGCTGCCCTGGGCACAGGCTGGTGGTGGTGTCACCATTTGTCCTCTGAGGCTGCTGTTGTCTGAGGTAGGGCCGGGCACATGGGGTCCTCAGGGTGGCACCAAGGGTGACGCAGGGCGCCTCCTCCTCCTTCCCACTGTGCTGTGTGTAGAGAACCATGCAGCAAAGCACCTGGGACCCGGCCCAGGGCCACACTGCCCTGGCCTCAGGTGACCACTGCAGACACCTGCGTCACTTCCTCCCTCCAGGGCCTTCCACCAACGCCTCGGGGCTCCAGGGGCAGAGACTGAGGCCCAGGCCAGCAGGCTAGCATGACCCTGGCTGTGGGGACGAGCGTGCACCATCTCGTGGGCCCTGGAATCTCCGATCCCTGCCAGGGACCCAGGGGCTCTCTGGAGTCTGCAGACAAGGGACCGTGACGGGCCAGTGTGGGCCATGCTGGTCACCGTGGCATCCGTCTCTGCCCAGCCATCCCCTCTGTCACCCACGTGACCCCTGGCTCTGGGCCTGTCCCCTGGGAGCCCTGGTCTGTCCTACTCTCAGATCCTGCAGTTCTGTGGATGTCAGGACGCGGCAGAGCGAAGGTGCGGGTCTGTCACTGTGCTGGGCTGTGTTCGCGTCCTGTTTTCTGCAGTTTTCCTCCAGGAAGCCTTAAGAAGACGCCTGTTTAGCGCCCTTAAGGAAGTGTGCTGTGCGCTTGCGCGGTGAGGCCCCAAGGCCGGCTAACGCTCTCTCCTCCCTCCCACACAGTCTGGGGCTACGGCCTGCTCGCTGTTACCATCATCAACCTGGCCTCGCTGCTCGGCCTGGTGCTGACCCCGCTCCTCAAGAAGCCCTACTTCCCGAAGATTCTGACCTACTTTGTGGGGCTGGCTATCGGGACCCTGTTCTCAAACGCAATTTTCCAGCTCATCCCAGAGGTAAGGGTGCTGTCTGTTTCTGTGCATAACTGCCTCTTTTCAATGTTTCAGCCCTTTGTGTGTTTTTAGCCTCCGGACAAGCAGGTTTATAGTGTACTGGAGGGGAGAAAGCGGGTTGCAGCAGACACGGGGAGTCCGGCGGTGGACACACAGGGCCGAGGCCTCACACGCTCCTGATGCACTTCGCAAATTTAATTTTCCTTTCTCTCTCTCTCTCATTCTTCTTTCTTTCTTTCTTTCTTTCTTTCTTTCTTTCTTTCTTTCTTTCTTTCTTTCTTTCTTTCTTTCTTCCTTCCTTCCTTTCTTTTTCTTCCCCTCGCTCCCTGCCTCCTTCCTTTCTTCCTATTTTGTAGGGCTTGAACCCAGGACCTTCATATGGAGCTACATCCACAGTACTTTTTAATTTTTTTTTTAAATTTTGACACAGGTTCTTTCTGATTTGCTAAGTTCCCCAGTCTGGCATCCTTCTGCCTCAGCCTCCCAAAGTCCAGGTATTTCAGGCATGTGCCACCACAACCAGCTATATGCCAGGTCAAATTTAATGAAGATATACCACAAAATTTCCTCATATGTTTACTGCCACTGGAGAAAAACAGGACAAGTAAGACCTTGGTTGACAAGCCTCTTTTTTTAATTAACTGGGGAAGAATTCAATAGCAGGCCGATCCATAGCGACTTTCTTTCCGTTGATAAAATGTGCTATTGACCTGACATTGATCTGACATTGACTATAGTGCACTATTCAGTTAATCAACAGTCAGTAGTTATGTGGCCATAAAGAAGGAAAAGTAGAGGAGGAAGATAGGTGAGAGGGAGCCAGAAGGAGTGCTGAGGAGGGAAGAGGAGAGACCATGCCAGGAGGTCCTGGAGGAGCCATGGAGGAGGCCACACGTGAGGGAAGCCTGGCCCAGGCAGGGGCCCAGCCCAGAACGAGCGCCCGGGGCTGGAAATAACCAGAGTGGTTTCAGTTTTCACAATGACCTGTGCAAACGAGGGCTCACTCTTCAGAGTCACAGGATTTTTTGTTACCGATCTAGAAAGAACCCAGGAGCATGTTGCCTTCAAACCCCCAAAGGTGGAGAAGGCAAAATTAAAATCCAGGGGATGAAACCACTTGCTTACACCCACACAGTGGGCTGGAACACAGTGGATAGATCGCTCAGACTTTCTGGCTGAAAGCACAGAGTATATAATGTATTGAACACTTCCCAGTGTCATATGTATTTGTATTTGTTATTTCACCCACTTTCTGCTGGGCTGGGAGCATGGCTTGCCATGGAAAGCTGATCTCACACACACAGCACTGACTTCCAGCCTGACTGTGAAACAAAGCAAAACAAAACAAAGCCCAAACTAATATTCTATGTGGGCCAGAGATTCTACACCCAACATTTTAGATTTTCTCTTTTGTTGAACATGTAGCAATGTAAAGGATCTGTCTTTGTAATAACACCTCAGATTCCCACACATAGGTTTATTGCATGTGTGTGTGCAAAGCCCCCTTTCCTTTTGTTATTCCATTTTACTCTGCACCCTCCGTATTAGGTGTGCAGAGTGGGGCTTTCTATGCCGCTTGTGCAGTGTGCATTTGTGAGAGGCAAACAGGAGTCATTTAAATGAGTGGGGCACCACCAGAAGTGTACATATAGGATGAAGGCCTTGACATCCTCTAGTCTGCTCCCGAGGGGAGAGCTACAATGCGTGGAAAGGGGTGAGCCAGGCTGGGAAGCTGAGGCAGGAGGACTGTAAGTTCAAGCTCAGCCTGGGCAACTTAGTGACTCAGCAAGACTGTCTCAAAATAAAAAATAAAAAAGAGCTGGAGATGTAGCTCAGTGCAAAGTTCCTGGGTTCAATTCCCAGCACTGCAAAAAACAAACACCCCCCCCCCCAAAAAAAACCAACAAAAACCCAAAAAGCAAAAAGCGTAAAGTTGTGGCTTTTTGCATATTACTGTTCCACCTATTTCATTATCTTAAGCTTATGCATTTCTCGTACATTAGGGACTACTGGACTCTGAAAACTCCAACTCCTGCCCTTTGTCCTTCAGCAATGGGTTGTCTCATTTGTGGTCTTGGCAGGTAAATTTCCAGGATTACCTGGGTCTGGGGACAGATGAAGAACTTTGGTAAAAACTGTATCCTGAGAAATCATGGTATTCCTTTCCAAAGGTGAAACTAAATCATGTAGTTTGGCCTGAATTGCCTTCCCCTTCCCTCTCTCAGGCATTTGGATTTAATCCCAAAGTTGACAGCTATGTGGAGAAGGCGGTTGCTGTGTTCGGAGGATTTTACATGCTTTTCTTTTTTGAGAGAACGCTCAAGATGTTGCTGAAGACCTACGGGCAGGTAAGTGGACTCGCCTGGAACTTGTGTAGAGGGCCCCTGAAGCACCTCGGTGCCAATGGAAACGTCACTTTCAGGGTCATGTGACTGTCCCGTGAGCAGACCTGTGGCCGGGAGAGGGTGGGAAGCGTGAGCACTGGGACAGGCCTGAGAGAAACGCCGCGTTCCGCCGCAGACCTCGGGATGTGCGGAGTTTGTAGTCCATTCGTATTATCAAAATGGGAAAGGTCTGTACTCTAACACGAAAAGGAGAAGCCATAGAATATAATCAAGGACAGTCCGTGTAAGGCGGGAAAATTCTGTAAACCTGCAAAGGTGACGCGGAGAGCAGACACAGGCCTTGTCGTCTGTGACGGAAGAGGGAGCGCTGTTCCCGGTCGGTGTGAGGCAGCTCAGCCTCTCTCACAGCCCTGCCACCCTTGTCTGTTTGTCCATGCAGAGCGATCACACTCACTTCGGAAAGGATGACTTCGGGCCCCCGGACAAAGTGCATCAGCCCAGAGCGCTGCCTGCCGCCAACGGAGGGATGTGCTACACCAACCCTGCTGTCACGGAGTCCAACGGGCAGGTGCACTTCGACAGCGTCAGCGTGGTGTCCCTGCAGGTACGAGCACCCCTTCTGTGCCTCGTTCGCTGGCTCTCTCGCCTTTTCCTCCGCGGAGACTGCTGTGAGCTGCTTGTACATTTACTGTTGGATTCCCTTCTACACATGAGGGGCTGCCCTCTCTGCCCACCTTCTCCCTGGGGTTTACACTGAACAAGGGTGTTAAGAAAGAAACTAGGGTCACTAGGTCTGAGGCTTCATTAGCCTCTGAGATTGTTTATGGAATTGCCGCTCCTTTCACTTTCTAGGATGTGCATAGTGCAGTCAACACATTCAATTTTCTTCAGGTCTTTCAAGAGCCAAAACCAAAGAATCCCTAGAGCGAGTTTGAAACTGCAAGATTTGTGCACTATTACTATTGTGTTCATTAATTGTAGCCATAGCTTTGAGAGAATAATAGCTACCAATGTCTGACCAGGTATTACATGCCAGTTAATAAACCAGGCAATTAATTATTTATCTCATTTTCTTTTTATTTATTTATTTATTTTCAACTCTTGCTATGAATTTTATTTATTTTTCTTCTGGAAATTTTGTGTTTCTTTTTCCTTAAAACCAGACACTGTAATAGAAACAGACATTAATTCACTGAACCTTTGCATAAACACTTTGAGTTTACTCATATATTCTTCAAATTATCTTAACATAGAACTGCATATAAATTATACTTTATTTTGGTTGATTTAAAAACAAGCCCAACAACATAAAAAAACAAAGCCTCTTCCTATTTCAGGAGAAACGTTTTACTGTGAAGTTACCCTTTTAACATCTTTGCTGTCAGTTTTGGGTGAACCAGGATGGCTGCTTCTTGTCTCGCTCAATGATCCTCTTGCCCTGATCGTGTGGGGATAGTGTCTCTCCTGCGTACAAGACCACAGTCTCTGTGGGGGGAGCTTTAAATGGGCCCCCTTCTTGTTTCCCTATATGTCGTCTGATTTGTGCAGTCTCCTTGCGCACTTTCTCCTAGCAAAAGCCGCAAAGGACATGTTTCAATTTGAGGTGACCACATTCAGGATAAACGCCGATATTGTTCTTAACTTTAATAAGCTTCCAGGGGTTTCTTCTTCTACACTGGTTAACTTCAATACTCCCTCTGTTTTGGGGAGCTGCCATCCAAAAGATACTACCCAAGAGGCTGGAATTCTCCTTACTTCCACTGGTATCATTTGCTGGCTCTGTAAATATCACTGGACCCTGGACAGCTAATGCTGGTCCTCACTGAGGACTGGAAAGACCTGGCCAGCTTTGCTGGAATTCCCGCTGCAGAAACTCCGAACAGTTTCAGAGCAGTCCCCGGGACACTGGCCCCAGCAGAGCCACCAACAGCAGCACGGCCCCTGCCATGTTCCTCGCCGGAAGACTGACCTCACTGGGCTGCTGGACCCCACCCCTCCTCAGTTACTTATTATAACAACCATTCTAAGTGGGTATCATTTGCTATGTGTTCAAATTCTGCTGGTTTCAAGGGGTGGAAGTCAAACTCATTTTATTGGAAAGACTCGGTGTCTTGTGGGGGAGCCACAGGAAGAGCGAGAATCAGGAGCTGTTAGGTCACCAGGACGCCGACTCCTCCCACGACTTCACCCCGGAGTCCTTCTTTCTTTCTCCGTGGGGCAGGGCCTTGCACTGGGGACCCTGTGGGTACCGTTGACTCCTGAGATTTGTGAGTTACAATTACAGCTCCTGGAGGGACACAGATTCTGATCCCTAAGCCCGACATCCCTGGCAGGTGTCTCCCTGCCCGTCTCGAGGCTAATCTCAGCACTGAGACTGTGGGGCCCCACTTTGGCACGAAAGGGGTGTCTGTGTGGTAGAAGAGCGGTTTATTAAACAAGGGGTTCAATGCTAAAGCACTTGGCGGCATGGATGGGGCCCTGGGTTCAATCTCCAGCACTGCCAAAACAAACAAAGGAGCAAATAAAGGCAGAGAAAGGCATGGGCATGCGCCTGTGAGCGGGATGGTGGCACTGGTGGCCGCCCAGCTCCCACTGGACAAGCGAGGATGGTGGGGTTAAGATGCGGAGAAGCCTCTTGGGTGGACAGTGGGCAGTTGGCAGAAGTGCGACCCAGGTGTGATCAGAAGGAGCACACGAGGCAGAGCCCGCCAAGGGGAGGCAGAGGGGACTCAGGGGGCTTCCAGGACAAAGCACTTGTCCTCCCGGAAGGAGAACGTGGCTGCTTATGTGCTCCCTCCCTCTTGCTGGGGGAAGATCTTGCATGTGTGGAGAGGCTGCTTTAGGTTTGCATGGAGCCACTGGGAAATTGTTTTATGCTGTGCAGTGACTGATACTTTCAGCCAAGATTGTGCAAGCAGATACTCAGGTAGATAATTTCTCAGGAACGTGGAGTGCTAGATCGATGACCTCATTTGATCCTGAGGCTGACCTGGGACAGGTACTGTAACTATGGCCTAGACAGGTCAGGAAACCTGAGGACACACAGCTGCTAAGCCACACAGCTGGGATGGAGACAGCCTGGTCTTAACTTTTTTTTTTGCTCACTGGGGATTGAAGCCAGGGCCTTTGTACCACACTAAATCCTTATATCCTCAGTTCTTTTTTTCTTTCTTTTTTTCTTTCTTTCTTTCTTTCTTTCTTTCTTTCTTTCTTTCTTTTTTCTTTCCTTCCTTCCTGTCTCCTTCCTTCCCTCTTTTTTCGTTCCTTTCTTCTTTCTTTTCTTTTTAAATTTTGAAAGAGTCTTGCTGAGTTATCCAGGCTGGTCTGCAACTTGTGCTCCTCCTGCCTCAGCCTCTCAGAGTGCTAGCATTACAAGTGTGCACCATCATATTGCCTGTAAGGCTATAATGCAATGCAGGGTCCAGCAGAAGGAACCCAGAGAATGACAGTTAAACTGATCCTTAGGGCTGGGGATTTAGCTCAGTGGTTTTGCTGCCTGCTACAAAGCACAAGGACCTGAGTTCAATCCCCGGTACGAAAACAAAACAAAACAAAACAAAACAAAACAAAAAAAACAAAAAACTGATCCTTAGACTGGGTGTCCAAATCCTGGCTGCCTCATGGGAGCTTTTGACAAACAGTAGATTATAGTGAAATCAAGGTTGATCTCGGTGGGTGATTCCAGTGTGCCAGGCCACTGTGTGGCCTTTTACACACTGACCAATAATCTTCAGACCCTGGGTGGCAGAGGGGATGCTCCGCATGGAGCTGGGGCTTCTCTCAGGTTCCTCTCCTGGGAAGGTCCTCCTGGGTCTCAGGAGATAAGAAGGCGGCCTGGGGCCATGCTGCGCTGCAGAAGAGGAAGAACTTGAGTAGGTCCTGCCCCGGAGTCTCGGTGTCCTGCTCCCCAGGCATAGATGAGACAGAGTTCTGGATTTAAAGTATTCAAAGAACCGATGACCTTGACCACGGCAGCCTCAGAGTGACTTTCCTTTCCGGGGGACCTGCTGCCCCCACGTGCTGCAGTGCTGACAGGGATGATGGTGTGGGCAGGAGGAGGTCTTAACAGATAAACTGAACAGCTCAAAAGCTTGCGAGTTAAAGCTGTAAGCGCCTGGCTCAGGACCAGCCATGCAGGGGACTGGACAACCAGAGATCTCAGCACTGAGACGAAGAGGTGCCTGAGACGCCCCGCTCTTCATGCTCAGGAGTAGTGACCAACAGGCTGTGTTTGCTCGGCTTCCTGCAGTGACCCCAGCTCCTAGCCCTGCGCTGACACATGCAGGGAACACTGCTGAGCACTGGTGCCTCGTCCCGGGCACTGCGGATTCAGAGGCAACAAACTCCCAGACCTTCAGGACCCGGTGGACCCAGTGCGTAGATCACAGAATCACATGTGATCACATCCATGGCATCGGAGATCGGGATGGAAACAACGTGCAGGGTGAGGGCAACCTGTGGGCGCCATTTGGATCTGTGGCCAGGAAAGCACCTCCGAGAGGTCAGTAGGGAGGTGGGTGAGGAGAGAGCCAGCGGTGCTAGTGAATGCATGGGAGGAGAGCTCTGAAAGCGCTGAGAGCCATTCAACAGGTCACCTACAGGAACCGGAAGCAGAACAGAGCTTCGTTTCTGAGCAGCGACAGTAGCTTGAAGGTAACTGTGAAGTTGCAGGTTTAGGGAAACCACAAAGCTACCAAGACGTAAAGAAATGAAGCGAGAATTCTGGAAATATACTGCCAGCAATATCATTTCTTCCCTCCCCCTCTCCCTCTCTCTCTTTCTACTGGCGATTGAACCCAGGGCCTTCACAGCAAGTTGCATTCCCTGGCCTTTTACATTTTTAATCTTGAGAACAGGTTCTGGACATTGTGCTGTCAGTGTCTTCTCTAAGGAAGAGAATGTTAAACAACTGGAGCAACCCAATGCTCTCTTCACATTTCTTTAGATTGCATAAGAAATGGAATCTAAGAAAAGACGTAAAGGTCTAGAAATGGTATTACTTTGACAGTCGATAGGTGTTGCCATATAAACGATAGTGATTTTAATAGACTTAAAATATTTTCTGATATTTTCTATGGTAAAATTTAACCTAAGTGAATCCATTAAAGTGACTGAACATGATATATAAAATTCATGATCCATTTGAGTCCAAGTATTGCTTTAAGAGCTTTATTAATTTTATTTGTTACTGTTTCAACAAAGTGAAGTTTTAAAAATTGAGAACAAGAAACTATTTAAAAGTTTTGAGTTACAAATAGTACTTTAATTCAGCGTTAGTATTAATAGGATGTGAATTATGTGGCAGTCTAGATCTTAGCAACGTGATTCTTGATTTTGCTTAAATGTAGGAAGAACAAAGTAAATATTATAGGATGATTAAAATGTCTGACTTAGGGAGATCTTTATTTTGTTATTCATCTAAACCATTCTGACCCATCACAGAATGCTCAGCTAGGCAAGAATATTTGTATTCAGTAGCGGTTGTTGGGATGCTGTCTGTGTTCACGTGTACGAAGGCCAGGGCTCTACTCATTGAAAACCACTTTTTATGGTCATGAAGCATATTTATTGCAGTACGAGGGTAGAACATGTCTAGCAGTATGT